ACAAATGGATGTACTGCATGTCTGCATCGTATTTTGTCTATGATGCTAGCAAAATAATCCAAGGTTTACCTTTACTTAATTCCGAACGAGTATGATCTTATTATATATAATTTCACGCTAAAAGGTAATAAATTCTCTGATTGTTGGGGTTGAATTTTAGTATTGAAAAATGAAAATGAAATTAACTGGGCAAATCAATAGATTTTTGTTTTTAGGTTTTAGGTATAATTAGTGAAATTGGGCTCATGATCATGACTATAGAGGTCACTTTACGTTCACGTGTATTGAGTCTTAATTAACATGCATATACACTGTTCTCCTAATTAATCTAAAATCGACAAGTTGATAGTAAATGCATAAAGCTAATCCTTCAATCATATATTAGTACTTGGTCAAATGTTTTCACAGTATATAGTGGTGACTCTGTGGACTAATAATAATTACGGGTAGACGCGTGGGAGGGTATAAGAGAGCTTAGTCCACAAGATTGTCAATGGGTTATTTAGTTACACAAGAAAATTATGTCATATATTTTAAATTTTGAGATTTAAATAAGTTTAACTAATTTTTATTATAAATTGTTTTGATTTATTTTTTAAATGGTTAATTATTATTATTTATAGTACTTTTTACGTAATTTACAAATACATAGATTTAAATTTTATAAAAATTAAAAATTTCATATGCATTTTCGATCAAACTTAAATTGTTTGACATCAAATAACAAAATGTCTCACCTAATTAGGACGGGGAGGGGTGGGGGGAGTAGTTTTTATAGTACGTAAGTTTTTTTCTTTGAGAGTGTGTAGGAAAATATTTTTATTTTTCTATTTTATTAGGTATGATCGATCGAAATATTCAATAAGTATTTTATTTAAGAAAATAAATTTCTTAAAATAAGAAAAATGATGTTTCTAATTAGGCAGAGAACACTAGTTTGTATGTTTTTAAATATTTAAATTATAACTTACAAATATAAAATAAATTTAATATAATTTAATCTTAAAATTTAATTTAATTGATTTCTCATAAGCATAAAACAATTAGTATAAAACCCCGAGTAATTTTTGCCCACAAATTATAATCTCCACACAATTTACTCTTGACAAAGTCAGTCGCTACACTTTTCTGATTTGTCATTGTCAGAGTCTAACCCTCCAAACAATAAAACTAAACAGAAAAAAGAAATTAACAATAAAGTATTAATCCTATCCTTTTCTTTTTTCTTTACGCCACTATAGAAAAGTGATAAATATTAGACATCGTTTAATAAAGTGTATGAGTATAAATAATTATATTTTATTAAATATATAATAAATATATTCTATTTAGCATCATTTTTATAGTATACTCTATTAAATCAAAATAGCGCTATTAGCAATATTCGAAGTAGATAAAATAATTATTCTTTCTTTGATTAAAAAAAAAGAATGATAAAGTAATCTATAGGTTACAAAGGGAAAGTAAATATATTTTTGCTCCAAAAAAAGCAAATAAAAAAGTGTGAACTTTCTTGGACTATATGAATTTGCTTGTAAGACCATTTTTTAAATTATATTGTTCAAAGTTGGTAGGCTAAATTTCACCTTTAAAAATAGTTGAATTGAACATTTTATTTTTTAGTGAATAAATTTAGCTTGCTTAGCAAATTGCTGACATAATCCAAATAGAATCTTCTTAAAATGTTATTTGTAGATTTATTTTAATGATTTTATCTTTATTAATAAAATTTACATTAATTTATATATATATATATATATATATATAAATATACATGTATCCGTCAAAGAAAGACAAAAGATACAGCTGGTAGCGGGGCCCACGATTTATAAAGTGATCTCATGGGCCTTACAATTATTTGGCTGGGCCTTTAAGCATCAAGAGGGCCCAGTGGTCACATCACTATTTCCTCTTTTAAAGGTTCAAACGACAGCGAATCGCAAACCAGCTTTAACTTTATTATTATAGCCAACTTAGGCGATTGGCTAATGGAACAAGCTAAATAGTTAAACTGTATATCTCATTTTACGTGAAATTTATTTATATTTAAAATAAATACAAGCTTATTATAATTTGATATAATTCATTAACTTTTTTTTTATTCTTAATTAAATGATAATATATAAATACACAAGTATCTAATAATTATTTTACATCATAAATATCAAAAAAATTCTTTAATTGTTTGTTAATAATTATGTCAAGTCAAATACTATCGTATAATTAGGAATACTTTAATTTAAAGTTTCATTTTATTCTTAATTAGATGATGTATAAAAACACAAGTACCTAAGGATTATTTTTAAAAAATCATTTCAAAAATTTACATTTTATTAATAACTCATCAAAAATTATCACATGAAATAAGACGGAAAAGTTTTAATTTGTATTTGTAGCATTTTGTTTTATTTAAGACTAGCTATATAGATTTTATTACCCAATGAGAAATCAAGTTCAAAGAAATAATTTGATACGTTTTCATTAGGATCACAATTTTTTTTTAAAAAAAGTTCCGTGATAAATTAAAATTACTGAATACTTGTGTCTTTATCCTAAAAGAACAGTCCCTGTTGGCTGCTCTGCCTTTTCCATTACTTAATTATTACTTCTTCTACCCTTTTGCTTTAGTTAGTAGTAATATATTATTTTATATATGTATAACATTTGACCAATTCTACCATATTCCTTAAAGAAAATATCAAGGGGTTGTTTGGTTAGAATATAAGAAAAATTAGTTTGATAGTAATATTCTCTATTATTTTCACAAAATTAATTTAATTTTCGGATGAAACGTATGTTGAATCATAATATCTTCTTCAAATACGATTTTCAACTTTAACTACTACTTTTCAAATATAATTTAATATCAGATAAAAATATTTGTACTAGAGTATCTATGGTCAAATGGGCTACATGTGAATTGTGGTATAGTATTGATATTTACATACACAAGATTTTTTAAACAAAATATTAATAATAGTAAATAATTAATGTAATGACATTATATTAATAAAAATTATTCAAAACCTATCAAGTATATTATTAAATTTTACTTGAGAATTTTTATATTTTGAAATATATTGATGATAGTCATTGAAGACAATACTAAGCACTAAATATTCTATTGCAATTGGTTTAACTTGGTCTAATTTGATTTGATTATAAATAGAAGAGGTTAGAGGTTCGAACTAAAAGACAAACTCGAATTAAACTTTTCTCTAAAAATATTTCAAATATAAAAGAAAGCAGTGTCATTAACATTATTTGTAGGTTATTTTTCCAGATTTTTAAATATATATAAAATACTAATTTTTTTCAACGAAGCAGTATCGGTCGATACTCTATGACATAGGATGAGTCCGCTCTTAGTGATGCACTGCTTCATCCCTAACTAAAGATTTCGAATTTTAGCTTTGGATATAAAATCTTTTTATTAGGATTGCCATCAATCCTGCTGTGCGCAATCTGAATTTAATAGGAATTTCAATGTATGCTCCGAACAACAACAGGGCGGATAGGAAAAAAAAAGAAAGAAGAAAAAGGTCAAAATGGACTAAATTAAAATAGACAATTCCAATTCTAATGAATTCATCACACACCAATTTACACATTATTATTCATCATATATGGGCCCGTTTGGCCATAAATTTTGCAAGTAAAATTTGGGAAAAAATTTAACAAATTTTGTTTGTCCATATACTTTTTTATTATTTGGTAAATTTTTTTGGCAAATTTTTCAAATTCCCAAATACTAGAAAAAACTAGTATTTGGGTCAAATTTCATTATTTGGAAAGTTTTAGAAATTCAATTTTTACCTTTAACTTTTTATTTTACAAAAATAATATATTTATTGACACCAACCAATTCAATTAGCACAATGTTTCCTTCTACATGCATTCTTTTGATTTCATACATTCCTTTGTTACAGTTAGTCTTAATGAACTAGCTACTAAATAAAACATGAATTGCATTTATTTTATTTAGTAGATAAATATTACGTTGTTGATGCTGGTCTACGGAACACAAGAGGATTTTTAGCTCCATTTAAAGGAATGCGCTATCATTTGCAGGACTACCGAGGAAGTGAAAGAGAGCCTAAGAATGGAAAAGAGCTATTTAACTATAGACATGCTTCTCTGCGCAATGTAATTAAAAGAACTTTTGGTGCGTGGAAAAGTAGATTCAGAATACTAGAACAAGGCATGAACAACTATGAATGTGACATGCAAGTGAAAATAGTAATTGCTTGCGCTGTATTGCATAATTTTTTACGTGAACACCAAAGTAGTGATGGAATATTCAATGAATATGAAAATGATGATATGGTTGTTGATGAAAGTGACGAATGATTGGCTCAGGGTAACAACATCGCTTCATCTTCTCAATCATCTGATTCGGAAATGCAAGCTCATCGAGAAGAGAATGTTCATAAAATGTGGGAAGGTTATATTAGAGAATATGTTGAACTCTTTCAGATGAGAAAGCATAGGTTCTTAGTGATTGCAATATATATTTTCTTTTGTTTTCTTCTCTTTTTTTTCCCCGAATTTATATTAGTTGTATTTTCATTATCATGATTTGTACCAAGACCTTTTCACTATACTAATATTTACTGTAATGATTCTTGTTGATTTGTTGCGGAAGTCATAAATCTTATTACGTGAGATTTCTATTGTGCTATGTAATACAAATTTATGGTTAGTTTGATAGTTTTAAAAACTTATGGGTATAAATCATATTTCTTTAAAAAATGAAATATGTTTCTCAAATTCTATGGCCAAACACATGGTAAAATTTCACCCAAATTTTCATCCAAATAATATTTGTCAAAAATATTTGAATATCTATGGCCAACCGCTAGCATAATATCTTTGTATTATTAGCTTATTAAAACAAACCATACATTATAATTTGTCAGTATAAACCAAACATCCCTTGGTGAGCAGTTTTTGTAGTTAGTATGCTAAAATATTAAAATACAATGGTAGTTGTGTGGGGTTGATTGACTGGACAAAGGTGAAAAATTGTATCTTTATGCTGAGTGCGGTCTTCTTTGGAGTTTTGAGATTATTATTATTATTATTATGTGTTGACTCTTGACAAAGTTGAGCTCTCTCATATTCAAAAGAAAATCTTCCACGCCTGCTTCTACAAACATAATTATCATATATTCATATGATTATTGTTTCCGAGGTTCGTCAAAAAGGTGTAAAGATTGCAGCTTTAATTAATGTTTTGGTTTTCAAGACTTAATAATTGCGAATATGAGTATGTTTTCCCAGTCTTGACGAGAAAGAATCGGGTCTTATTTCTCCTTGTGTAGAATTGGGAAAAGTATTCGCTTTTGCTGGGAATTTGATGAGGTTTTTGAAAGTGGACTTCAGTTTTTTGCTGCTGGAACTGTAAAGAAACAATTGGAACTATACAGAATTTTGAATTTTCATCTTAATCAGAGAGGGGTTCTTTGTTACTCTCCTCTAGGTATGGATACTATGCATCTTACCTATTTATTTAGGTTTTGGTGCTATCAGCTATGGGTACAAAAAGAAATTCTGAATTTTAAATCTTAATTGCTTGTTAAGTAAAGTTTGTTCTCTTTGGCTTTTCAATGTTAACTTTCTTATTTCTAGAGTTCGTCTGTGAAGGAGAACAGATGTGGTTATGCATCTGTCTTTGTGTTTCTTGATTATTTTGAAAATTGAAGAGAGAGGAGAAAGTGAATATTTGTTATAGCCTGAGATGTAATGATTTTATAAGTAAAATTTTCAATCTTTTATGGATTTGTGTATAGATTTTCTCACCTTTAAGATGAATATGATACATGATGCTCAACCATCAATTTGTTGTATGACAGATCTGCTTTTTTGAATTGTGTGACTATCAGTTCTTGTGTTTACTTAATTAGGCTATTTCATGTGTGGGGCTGGTTCTTTTTATGAGCCAAGCCCGTGGAAATAGTTTTTTGCTCTTTGGTTGGCCGTGAGATTTAAACCCAAGAACACTTGCTAGCTCTGATACCTTATTGAATTGTGCGACTGTTTCATCTAAATGCTTTAGAGAGAGAACACCACTTTTGATTGTGTGATTATATAGGTTTTTGTTCATCAGAAACTTAGAGTGTGTAAACACAAAGCTGTTCCTGTCAATTTATGCTAATGAAGCCATGAATTCCTGATATAGAATAATTGCCTAGTTATATGCCTAAATATATATTATTTTATTTTGGAAATATTTCTATTTCTGATGAATTTTGTCCTTTCTTCATATGGATTTTCATGTTTGTTTTATTCTCTGTTATATTCTGACTGGTTGATACTTGTATTTATTACTCAATATTACAAACTAAGTTTTTTGCTCTTCTTTAGTAGAAGTTCCTTATGGGGAGTGATGCTGCTTCAATTGCTGGGATACCATCTCCTCGTGACATTAAGGTATAGAAATCTCTGCTCTTCCATCTGTTTTCTTTAGCTCCTGATATTATCTTCACGCGGAGTTTAATTAAGGCAATTTACCCTCAAGTCATTCTTCTAATCACAAATGAGATGTGTCAAAAATTCCGGATTTCACTCATCTCTAGAGCAACACTCCTCTTAATCTTGGTGCCTTCACATTAAGGAGTAATAGTCACTATGTCGTATATAAAGAGAATGGAAAAAATGTTTTCTTGTAATGGAGTTTTGCATGTGTCAGCTCTAGCTCCTGATGAACTATAAAAGGGTTATTTAACTCTTGGACTGAATCTTCATGAGGATGCTACAATTCAAATCTGAAATTTAAAGTGGTTACCTCATTTGCAGCATTATAGGTTTAAATTTTGTCCTTCCGAGTTTGCAGAATGCTAAGTTTTGTTCATGGATTATGTACCTGTCAAATTTCATGGTTTCCTTGTCATTATCGAGTCCCATTGTGCTATTTATGTTTTGCCATACAATCTTTTCTATGACTAAATATATCCTACATTGGATGATTACAGGTGCATCGTCTAATGTGCATGGAACTAATTAAATTTGTAGCTGGAGTTTTAATGTTACTTCCAGCAATTGAAGAAGCCCGTCCTGGATCCAATCCTGGAATACAGGTACTTTGCCAGATAAACAGAGCACTTGACAAAGCCAAGGACATTCTTCAGCATTGTAGTGAATCCAGTAAACTATACCTGGTAAGCATCTTTACTCAATCTTACAGAACTAATTCTGTCTGTTTTTTTTTAATATATATCCCAATTAATACCCTTCGGGGTGGCCTAATGGTTTGAGCTTGGGACTTCCATGTTGGAGGTCTCAAGTTCGAAACCCCTTGCCAGCGAAAGCAAGGGGTTTACCTTCTGGGTCGAGCTCGTCGCACCAGGCTTGCCTGGTGCGGTTACCTCTTCTATGTGGTTTGCGAGCTATTGCATAGGGCGCGGTTTACCCTGTGTGCATCCAAAAAGGATAGCGGCTGCGGGTTTCCCTTGTCATCAAAAAATATATATATATATATATCCCATTAATAGGAGATTACTTGCTTCAGAAATTAGTTGAAAAGAGTGTATAATATTTGGCTAGTGGCTGGCATTTAATTGATCATCAACATCTGTAGGTTTTCCAGTGGATTTTTTTTATTACATTTCTATATATCATAGGAAGGGAGAGAAGATCCAAAGAGTTCCAACTACTAGCACACTCGAAGGTCATGCAATTAAGTGTAAAAATGTAAATGCTGCAAGTGCAATCCTTCTTTATGTTATCAATCTACCTGTTTGGATAATTAATGTGTTCATTCATATAATGGAGAACTAAGTCTTAATAAAATTAGCACCGTATTTTCAGGCACTAACTGGAAATGTTATACTTTCAAGATGCAACAAATCAAAAAAATTGCTTGAGCAAAGCTTGAGCTGTGTGCAGAATATGGTTCCTGTGATGTTGGCTACACAGGTGAGTCAAAATATTTTCTTTTTAGAGATTTGTCTGTGTTTATTTGCTTTCTTTTTCTGTCCATCTTGATGGCAAAGACATTGTTGGTGTGTCCTGATTATTAATTCTACATCCAAGCCAGAGTGTATGCAGTTTTAATCGAAAATAACTTTGCTGTGTTAAACTAAATGACAATGTCTGCAGTTTACATTAGGCTATCCATTTACTGTTGCCAGAGCTTTTTGTTTCTTTATCCTGCGAGCTCGTCCAATTTATTTCCTTCATCCTTATTTTCAAAGCTTTGCTTTACAATGAAAGAGAAGGAAGAAGGATCAGTCTTAAACTGTGGATTCTTCTTTTTCTTTCTTTCCCTTTCTCTACCTGGTTGGTTTCTGTTTCTGTTTGATGGCTCTGACAGCACTTCAATGGCATTATTGGCTGCAGATATCGCAACTGGTTGCTGACCTGGGAGCTGGAATATTCAGCTTGGACCCATCTGAAGAGGAGGCAAGGAAAGTATTGAGCAAGCTACTTCATCAGTATACGTCTACAACACATTCAGGGGAAGGACACGTCTTTGAGGCTATTCAAATTGCTATGGAGAAACTGCGTATCACATCTCCAAAAGATCTTTTGATAGAGAAAAGATCCATCAAAAAACAGCTGGAGAAAATTGGGGAGGGTGATCCACCAAAAAGGAAAATCTTACTGTTCTTTCTGAGTCTTCTCAACAAAAATGGCAAATCTATTGTGGCAGAGCACACAGAGAATGGATCTCTGCAGCATGAAGACTCTCTTGAATTTGAAGTGGAATCTCGTCTGAAATGTAATTATAATGATGCTCAAAGAGATATCTTCAACGGCTCTCGACTTCCGGATGAGTTCAAATGTCCTTTATCATCAAGACTAATGTATGATCCCGTTGTCATTGCTTCTGGACAAACATATGAAAGATTTTGGATTGAAAAATGGTTTGCTCAAGGTAATGATACATGTCCAAAAACCAAAAGGAAATTGGTTCATTTGTCTTCAACCCCAAATAACTCAATGAAGGACCTTATATCAAGGTGGACTGCAGCACATGGGGTCAGCGTTGTTGATCCCAGTGTACAAGCAGCAGTAGGTCACTCATGGGAATCATCTTCCACTTCAATTGCTAGCTTGAGCAGTTCAATGATGGATCTATCTATAAATATAGACTTCAGCAATTTATCAATGGGAACTTCAGATGCTAGTTTTGTATCACATACTTCGCATTCTAAGATTTCAAATGACTTTCATAAAGGTCAATCTCGTGAAAGCATACATGAAATGGAACTGGAGCGTTTAACAAGGCTCAGTTCACTCTCTTGGGAGTCTCAATGCAACTTGGTTGGAAACATCAGAAACATGTTGACACAAAACGATGAAGCTAGCAATTGGATGTCATCGGACAATTTTATTCAAAAACTTTTCAGATTCTTGAAAGATGCGCATAAATGTGATGATCAGGATGCTCAATTATTGGGATGTCAGTCATTATTAGCAGTTCTAGATGAATGCGGGTAAACCTGCTCTCTCTCTCTCTCAGTGTCTGATTCTTTATCGTAGATGGCATCCCCCACCTAAGAGGATTAGTAAACGGGTAACTGCTCAAAGAACCTCTGTGGTAACAAATCATTCTAACAAAATCTCTGGGGGGAGAAATCCATGTTACAAAATTTTGAAATCCCTTTCAAGTAGTTACTTTTTCTGATGAAAATGTGAACATGTCTGACTTCTTCCCCTTAGGAAGAATTTATTTATTTTAATCAAATCCAATTTGAAATTCAATTAATTATCTTGATACACTCGGTGTTTAATGCTTCTGGGCCTTTTTGAAATACTAGTAAGTGACGTCTTCTATCTTATTCTGCTTCCACATATTGATACTTGTATGGTTCCTCCGTCTCAGAAGCAGTTTGCCATACTTGAATGATGATGCATTTGCTCTTTTGACTTCATTGCTTGGTTCGGAGGTTTCTAAAGAAGCTATTGCTATAATCGAAGTGTTGTCCCGCCACCAAAACTGTCACCATAAAATTACCATGTCTGGTGCACTACCTATTCTCCTGGAGATTCTTGATGCCCACAGTAGAGAATTGCAGGAATCAGCCATCAAAATATTATGTAACATGTCAGGAAGTAGCAAAATTGGTTCCTTGATTGCACCTTCAGAGTTGGTCCCAAAATTGGTTCCTTTTCTTGAAGATACAGCACTCGCAAGAAATTGTGTTATCATTTTGCATAGTTTGTGCAACAAAGAAGATGCTAGAATTGCTATAGCTGAAACTGATGGATGCATTGCAGCAGTTGTGAAACTGCTTGAGCGTGAGAGTCGCAAGGACCAGGAACATGCTGTGGATTTTCTTCTTTCTTTATGCCTTCAACGGGTTCAATATTGTCAACTGGTAATGGATGAAGGTGTCATCCCTGAACTCGTCTCTGTATCTATTAATGGAAACAACAAAGCAAAGGCAATGGCTTTGGAGTTGCTGAGACTGCTGAAGGGGGAATTTAGTGATACTGTAGAATCTTACGAACCGGAAATCGACATTCCTAAACCCCCTACCTCTGACTTTACTCAACAGAAATCTCATTCCGAAGGAACAGGAATTTTTGGGAAATTTTTCTCAAAACGTAGTTCGACTACTGCCAAAAGGATAAATAGAAAGTGATGCGGTTTGAAGATTTTTGTATGATAGGATGTGTATAATTTCACAGGTTAATCTAGTTTTTGTTAGGGAGAGGCATAGACAGTAAGCATTTATATTGTTATAGCTGCTTGAGAGTTGGGATAGAAGGTGTAATTATTGTTGTTGTATCTAGTTTTTGTTTGTATTTAATTGATTTCACTGGACAACATATTCAGGTGTATAGTGTATTTTGTATGTACAAATATGATAAATTTTCAAAGAGATGGTCATTTTTTGATTAAAAAGTTGAGAGTTGATGAATATCCATCTGTGTCCTCTACTTTCCTATTCTTCTCAAGGAGATCATCATCGTTGTGACATTGGTTCTAATGACTCTTAATCAATGTCAATATTTAAAGCAGCTAAAAGTTTTCGTAGTAATATGGTCATTTTTTTGACTTGGCATTGTTTACTACTTAGACTTGGACACCATCATTATTAATAAGATTTGCAAACATATCACGCCGATTAAATCTTAGTAGCTCAGTTGATTGGTTAATTTTATTTAATACCCCCAAAAAATAGGTAGGAACATATGTTTTTCGTCATTCTACTTTTCTCTTCTTTTTTTTTTCCAACTCCAAATGTATGTGTCTTGATTTCTATTTTTTGTTCAATTTTGACGAGCGAGTTAGTTCTGGAAGTTGACTAATAATAATTGGGAATTCTTGGTGTGCTATACTTTCTGTATTTAGTCCTCTTTCTGTTTTGGCTCTATCTTATTTAAAAGTAAACTTATAGCCTGGGAAGCCAGAAAAAAAATTCCTGAAATTTCTCGTTTTTTGTATATGTTCTTCACCTCAAACCTCAATACATACATAATTCAAACACAACATGTGGAATTTGCTTGTTTTTATTTGTTTTGTTGGAAAAAGAAATATTTATTTCAAAAAAGCTTTTTAGACCTTCAAATCAGCTTTGTTGTACTTTTAATACGAGGATGTAAGAAAAAGACATTTTGTTTTCACCAAACTTTTTGTCATAGTTTCTGGATCTAAAATGTTGTTACTCAAACAGGGTGAGGTACATGCACTTGGGCATAAAATTGCACATTTAAATGGCCATAATAGCTAAGACTGGTAAATTGCGTAAGTTCTCTCCCTTGACATAGTAACTTTCACGTGATTCAACAAGTACAGTACTAATTATATATATAATGGATATTTGCTGCTGTAATATGTCTATTGTCAAAGAACTTGGAGATGTTCAAAATAAGAAGGAGGACTTTGAGATCATCGTGAAACAAAGATAACGTGTTTAAAGAATGGACAAATATTAGTATTATTTATAAAGAGTTTCGGGACAGACAAAGTCACCCAACTATCTAGCTGGTAGTAGTCCAAAACAGCAGCTTCAAGCCTTCAACCAGATACCAATTCAACACAAACAATCTGAAATTTCCAAGGGACTATTACACTTACGACAAGAAATAGCTAAGGGAAACTAAGTTTAACAGACATTTGACGTATAGTTTCCAGAACCTAGGGAAAACTTAGTTGCAAATAGTGATTGATATATGCAAAGGGATAGATAGTGTTATAAACTAGGTGAATAACTTATCGAATGGTAGGAACAATATAATTTATTATGATGACCAAGACTAGTCATTGAACTAATGAAAAACTGGTGTGTATCACAGTACAAATGCAAATTCAGCTTTGAAGTATCAGAAATGATGCAAGTTAGCAACTCAAAGGTCTAGACTGAGAACTAATGCTCATGAAAAAACATTGGAAGGGGATTGTATGGATCATAATTATCTTTTGCACATGAAAGTAAACATGAGAATGCTATTGGAACATGAGAATGCTATTGGAGAAACTGGCACATGGCACAACGAATATTCTCATTTATACAAAGGTCATGCGTTGAGAACTTCCTCAGGGATTCTACATGAATTTGGAACATTACTAAGCAACCAAAGAGAAGAAAAGGAGCTTATCTTGATTTGCAATCTGCACGAAATCATTCACAGGCTGGCTTCGTGTCAAAGCTGCTCAAGCAGATTGCAAAAGCTTGGAAAGCAGAAAGTGGATAGCGGTAGTCCATGGTGAAGATGTCTTTCCCAATTTTTCCAAACTGTAAAATTACTTTTTCTTGTTCTGCGACTGGTATATTGTGAGATGGATCAACTGCTGCCACTAGCTGAAAATTTTTCACAGAAGCAACTGTAACACGGCCTTTAAAATTTAAGCACCAGCACTGCAATTGTTCATGCCACCTAGGAGCCTTGTTTTTTAGCACAAGTATGTCTTGAGAAGTCGCCGTTACTGCTGACCTTGAAATGCCAGAGGAGCTGATATCCATAGCTGACTCCTTTGCTATTGCAAGTGGTGCAGAAAATGACTTCTCATCAAAAGATTGTGGGAATGATTTAGGTGTTGGAGCACTGCCACCCTCCTGGATTGAAGACAAGGGGATAGAGTGCATGGCAGAATGCATTCTCCTAGGTCCTCTGGTACGAAGGACATTGAGTTCATACGAAATGGTAGCTACTCTATAGTTGCACGCAGGAACTCTTGGAGAAACTTGTTTTGCATGAAATCTCCGACTGAGACGACCAGGTTGTTGAATGGCTGCATCACTTGGAGGTTGGCTATCATGTATGGAGAACTTGGTCCCAAGAAAGTTAGACCTGGTCAAAAATTGTTCTCAAACATTATATAAAATGGAAATTAGATTCTTTTCTCTGCCTCCTGCCAATCTGAAGGGTCGACGAGGAGTGAGAAAAGGAAATATAATTGGAAATTTGATTGAACTTGCCTCAGTTTACCGGCATACATATTGCTAGCTCGAGAAAAATCATCTGCAACAAATGATATCACAAAGTCTGTGTTTGTTGCCCTTCTGATTTTTTTGGCAGACAACAATAGTTTATCCCTCTCATCCTCAGCTGTCGTGAAGTAAAATATCAGTTATGCATCTTTCATTGACTTGGAAGAATTTCCGATGAAAAAGATTGACCACAAACATCACTAGAAGTTCTAAAAGGTTGTGAATTTTCTATCTGGTGTACTAACTTGAATGTACATCAGCCTAAGTGCAAGTTCCCCATTAAAGTAGGATCTTAAAATCTTTACAGCACAAACAGGATAGGCAGAGGATATTACTTACATGGAATCATGCCAAAGTAGAGACGATAAACTGAATTAGCTCTGTCCCGTTTAATAAAGCACTGGATTGGGGATTCACGGGGACCCGGCTGGTTTAAACGGTAAAAGTTCTCTATTAATATCAATCAACATCATAAACATACATAGAAAGGAAAGTAAAATAGACTAAGGTGATTACCTGTTTCAGTGAAATGGGAAAGGTAAGCCTACCACATTCCTCAGGAGTCTTAACAATCTCCTTGGTAATTCCCCTCCACGATTTGCAAACAGATGCACAAAAGAGAAGGGCGGATCGAGCAGGCCATGATAACTCACTCTCTTCAACCCTACGGATGATATCAAGAAGAAGTTCCGGTGGTAAATTTGCCCATTGCCCTTGTTCAATTTGATCAGAAAGGGCCACATCAGGGACTATATGTGACCGGGTTCTGTTGCTCCAATGCTTTCTTTCTGTTCCCCTCCTTGATATATTCCCTATACCATCTTTCATCTCCCTCAGCTCACGAACAATGCTCTTCAAAGACATTTCTATCAATCACATCAACTGCAACTTCCCTTCAAATGGAAGGGTAAAGCAATTAGAACTTTGCCTTTTAACCACAGCATCAACCAATTATCGAAACCTCAATTTCAAACATTCTGCTCTACTCGGACCCATATAATTCCTATCCAAAATATGGCCTTCAAGACAAACTAGAAATTATCTATATTTTGATCAAAATCCATAGCTTTTCTGAGGGAGAAAAAAAGATCAACAAGAATGTAAGAACAGGTGCTTTATCTCATTTCAAGCATATCCCAAGTTTCAAAATCTAAACCTCAGCACTCAAAATCGGAATTCTGAGATTCCGCCACTATTTTTTTTTTTTTAAAAAAAACAGAAATTTAAAATGTGAGGTTCTTTACAAAGGCAAAAAAATACCCTGGAATAAAAAACCGAAAAAACAATCAAAATGTGCGATCTTGTGGCATTTTGGTACTATCTCCGACGAAAACCAAAAGCAGAGCTGACATGCAGCTAGGAAGAGAAGAAGAGATTATGAAAATGAAATATATCCATAGAACATAAATGCATCAAAACACAGAAAAGGGTAGGAGAAAACCTAAGAAACACGAGTTACAAAGAAGATGAAATCGTTGAAAGCAAGCTGCGGGATGCAGAGATCGAAGAAGGAAAAAACGCGGCGAATGAGGTGGAACACTGGATCGGCGACGCTTTAGACTTCATGTCATGTCGCCGGAAACACCAGTGGCACCACCACCGAAAAACCGCCGTTAATTCCGCCAACAAATTGAAGGAAAAATGTCAGGAGCTAGGAAGACGAAAGGGGCTTCTCTGTGTGCGTATCTATCAAAGTTTTCCCACACCCAGATGTCTCAAAATGACAAAAATTGTCCCTCATATTTGATGCTATTTATATAATATTTTAAATGAGATTTTTTTTAATGTAATTTTACTTTTTAAAAATATTTGTTTTAATATTATTTACTAAAAAAATGAGAAAAAATAGTTTATTTTAAAAGAAAAAAATATTTTATTTTTTAAATTTACTGATCAAATTTTGATAAATTTTTTGGTCATTTAGCACTTCTCTTAAAAGTTTCACTAAACATTTTGATTCTCAAATTTCTCAAAGGATAAACAATATATATATATATATATATATATAAAGTAGAAATTACAGCTAAAAATTATGGCATACTACTCTATATTACATCAAGTATAGTAGAAATTAGAAACTATAAAAAAAATTAAATCTCTAAATGATGTGAGTTTTTGCTATATATAGTTCTATCAAATTTAAAGTATAGTAGATGTAGTATAAGCGTATAAATAGAAAAATTATTAATTATTTTTTAAATTTCTAACATAACACTTGTTTTATGATAATCTTTTCAAAACTAAAATGACACTTATTTTAAAATTAAAAAAATATAAAACTATGCTCTAAATAAACATAAAGCATGCAATTTATACATGGATAAATCTATACGCGTATTAGCAAGTGCATGAATTTTGGTGAGGTTAAAATTGATTTTATGTACTTCAAAAAATGGATGGTAAAATCAGAAAACCGTTAAATATTCAAAAATAACGTTTTTTTATTGTGGTCACAAGGAGTCAAACGCACTAATCTAGCTAACTATTGTTTTATTTGTCCTAAAATACTTATTACATTTTTTATTCATATGTTTTTTAAAAAAATATTAAGTGTTTTAATTACTATTTTATTATTCTTATCATTATTATGTCTTAAAGATATAATCTTATTTACTGGATGGCTATTTAGTTTTAAGTGTTATTAAAATATTTGTAGTTTTTAAGAATATTTATGGCTAAAGATTATATAATACGTATAAACGTTAATTATGATATAGAATTTTACGAACTCAAATTTAAAAAAGAAACATATACATTTTAAAAATTACGATAAAAAACTTTTGACCAGAGAGTTTTGTATTGAGTGTCATGAGGATGGTTTGGTCTACCAACAGATGTTGTTGTGCAGAATATTTCTGTTTACAACAAATATTAAACATATGAAAAACAAAAAAAAATTATAAAAATAAAATATAAAGAAATATAATATTATTCATTAAAATAGGGGTACAATTCTGGTAATCCCTAAATTTTACTCTCCTGAGATTTATTCATGATTCGAGGGCCGTTAGTGATATATTTCACGAATTAGAATGATTTAGATTTTGACCTCTCTTTATGAATAAATCATCAATTTGTAGAGTATTCGAGATCTTGATCTCTTTCGAGATGCCTTTTAAGAGAATTTAGAACCCTTTATATAAGGATAAACTAGGGTTTAGAGTTGAGTAGCCTTCAAGAATCCTTATTTGAGTTGAACACAATTTGTGAAGTTTCAAATCGAATTAAACGCATTTTGTAGAGTTCCACAAAATTTAAATGTCTTCAATTTCACCTCCAATTAAAAGTTTTGTGTTTGAGCCATGGATATAAAGAAAATTTTGTTAAAACCATCAGTTTTGAATGAACCCTGTAAAGTGCAATTTAAATTTAATAAAAGTTCTAATGTGGACTTCGAATGCCGGAAAAAAAGGGTGGGTTGGTCTGCTTTTCTATCACTTTGTTGGGGAAACGCGTGAGAGTATCATTACCTTACTCAAATGTCCCTCTCCACCGTATGCTTTCCAAGCACGTAATGATGGTGACACAAATATAAATCTCTTATATATAAAATTAACAAAACTTATTCAATAAATCAAAATCTTTCCTAAGCCTCCCACTCATTCTAACAATTGGAGGAGCGTTATATTAATTAATTGAGAAGTTTTATAAGAGAGGAATAAAATTTCAGACAAATATTCTCGTGATTAAGGTTATTAAGTATATTTTTTTCTCAACTAAAAAATAAATTAAAAGACATATAGCATATATATGAACCAATTAAATACTTATTACATTCTAAAAGGATAATACACAAGTATCCTCTCAACCTATGTCCGAAATTCCAGAGACACACTTATACTATACTAAGGTCCTATTACCCTCCTGATCTTATTTTATAAGTAATTTTCTATCCCTTTTTAGCCTACGTGACACTGGTTTGGAAAAAAAAAGTCAACCATCATTGGGCCCACAAGATAGTGTCACGTAGGTCAAAAAGGGGTAAAAAATTATTAATAAAATAAGTTCAGGGATAATAGGACCTTAGTATAGTATAAGTGTGTCTCTGAGATTTAGGGCATAGATTGAGTAGGTACTTGAGCATTATCCTCATTCTAAATCACCAAATGCAGAGCATTTTCTTTTTCATTTTATAGAAGCATCGATCTATTATTGAAAAGCAACAACCATTCATGAGCAGTAAAAAGATTATAATTTCTTATATGTATTCGCTGAAAATGATTAAACAGACACAATATCTATACATATCACTCTCATTTTCCTCTTCTTTTTTTCTTTTCGATTGTATTGGTATCAAATGAAATTTAGATTTAGATATTGCATGACTTATTTCAATGGGCAAGTCACTCGCAACATCAACAACAATTTCAATAAAAAAAATTTCTATCCAAATTAGAATCTTAACTATCTCATCACAATTCATGATCAGTGATATTTTTTTAATTTTATATTTATGATAGCTTAAATTGATATGTTCTTTCTATTTTTGAATGAATTACACAAAAGAATAAGTACTATCATATCAACTTTTTACACCATCACATAAAATTCACTCAGAATAATAGTTCTAATATTTTCATAGCACGCTTAATATATATTACAGATAACCTTTACAAAAATAGAAAAATATTATGCTATAATCGGTTTAGAAAAAATCACAGTATAAACATTATCTACATACTAGTATAATGATTAATCTAAATAATTTTAGCAATTAATATCAAGACAAAAGGAGGTGTGGAAGACCTGATTGGAGGTTATATGTGTCAGGTTTTGCATTGTCTCTTTAATTATTTTCAGCTCTTGGAAGGGTGCATCACCCAAGCATGTTCAACTGTTATCGATTATTATTTTCGTTTATTTTTAAAGACGATAATAATTTTAATTAATATTTTATGATATACTTTTTTCATCATATTAATATGTAAAAGATTAAAATTTATAATTTAAAATATTTATAATTTTTATTTAAAATATTAGATTAATATAATCTAATTTAATTTTAAAAATTAATTAAATTAATTTTAAAAAATATAATTTAACAATTAAAAGCATCCCACTACAACTATACCAATTTTCTTAGAAAGTCAAATTAAATTTATCCTAAAATTAAGAAATTATATCATTCGTTAAATTTTTTAATATTTCCCCTTACATTTATTTTTATTTAACTTATCTAATTTTCTTTTCAATTAATTTAATAATTTGTTAATTATAATATTTTAATTATTAAGTGATATTTTAAATACATTATACATATTATTAAATTTTGTGTCGAGTTAAAAATTGAGACGAAGAAAGTATTACAAAGGGACCAGAGAAGTTGAAAGTAGAGTAAGGCCACAGTAGATGTACTTCAATGGTGCGTGTAAAAATGTATCTTGTCATGTGATGTTTCGATATTCATGTTTGGGCATCCATTCCGTATCTAATCATTCTATCCCATGACTTGCCAGCTCACAAACTTTAACATTTTCTATTTTCTCACTTCTATATTTTAAAAATTATTTTATTCAAGATGATTTCAATTGTGTGTTTAATATTCATAGAGTAAAAAAATTTCTATGTCCACTTAATTATCATACCAGCGATTAATATTGTTGAGTATATACGATTAAATGTGGTTTACTATTAAATAATAAATCAATTAAAATTTTTGTATATCGTTGAAGTGGGTTTATCTTAATCTCAAATGAGAAAATTGAGATTATAAATATTTAATCCTTGTGACTGTTACATGAATTTTTATTCCATGTCTATTTTTGAGAAAACTATCTAGCAACTGATTTTTTTAAAAAAATTAACTTATGAATCTTTCAAAATGTGGTGTAAAAAATCTATTTTGAGTAAATTGATAATTTTATGAGAAAACAATTAGACTATGATTTAAAATTTGTATGTTTTGGCTAGACGATAATCTAATGTTATGAGCTAATATTAGACTCGAGTCTAAAGTTGTCTGAAAGGATAATTTTTCAAAGGTTATATTTGCATAACTTTTAAAATAATGGACAAAATTCAAATGATGGCATGAAAAGTTCAGCAGGCTGTTTTTCTAGTTGGGCTAGAAATAGGTTCTTGTTAGTCCAAGCTAAGTGGGCTGCGTCCTCTTTTGCTGATGGAAAGCCCAAATAGCAGTTACTTACTAACACCATTGGCATTCTCTATTCATTTTCTTAACAGGATTACTACTACGTCATCATTGTATTTATGGTGCAGTAGTGAGACTATTTCATTCTAAACGAGATCTTTTACATTCGAGTTTCGGGTATGAAAAAATCATGTTGAAAGCGCTAAACCTGAATGGGCCCAACAATGCAAGGTTCCAATATAGACTCCAAACATTGCATGACAAAAGAAATCATATTTTTTTATACTTGATCAAAAAAGGTTAAAGAGATCCATGTATTTCTATTGTGAAAATGCTTGATTAATTGCATAAAGTTAATTTATAATATATTACATTTTTTTTTTCTCATTAAGTATTTAAGTCAACTGAGACATTTTATGTTTTGATGTGAGAATATATGAATAAAATTATAATGTAATATTTGTGACTTTTAGGTGAAGAGTTACATCTGCTAAATGTCTACCAATCTTCATCCTCCTTCATTGTAATCTGTTATACTTCTATCTCACTTTTTAAAAATATATATTTGTATTTTTACTGATGATTATTTGCATTTTTCCTTTTGGTGATTTAATAATGTAAAAAAAATTCTTACATGTCA